GTCCTTATCACAAACCAATTACAACATTCCTCGCAGCCCTCTGCAGTCCCAGTCCTGAGCTGGCTTGAAGGTTCCCGAAATTATGGACAGGTCATCCCCGGCCTTTATACCTCCCCTGCCACTGAGCCACACAAGAGAGGTGCGCGCTCAAGACACCGGACTTCAGAGGAACAGATTTATACCTCTATACCTTTTTTTTTTTTTTAAAGATTTATTTATTTATTCATACAGAACTGGGGTACAGGCCAGAGATGCGGAGGGTGAGAGGATTCACCAGAGACAGAGTGGGGAGAGAACAGGCAGAGTGAGGAAGTACACTGCTGAGGGAGCAGCGGGCGGGCCAGGAGAGGTCTGCCACGCCATGTGGATCTCCTCCCGGGCAGGCGGGAATCGAACTCATGCAGAAGTGGCCTTAGCTTCTCAGTGCTGTGCTTTAACCCGCTGCGCCACCAGGGAGGGCCACCTCTATACCTTTTAAGAAACGGATCAAAGCAGACATTTAGAGGCAGGACTGTTCACAGAAAGACCCAATAGTGGTCTCAAATGCAGTAGTTTCCAGGAACGATATTTTATTATCGGCGCGTTTAGTGTCTTCTGTCTGCTCATTTAATCTGCACATGACCCTTCAAGGCAAGCTCTGTTCTGATGCCCATTTTGCAGATGAGTTGAGAGACCTCCCAAATCACACAGCCAGCAATGAATGGCTGCCTGCAGAGCCCCGGCTCCTATCTATTATGCCTTCTGGGAAACGGCTACGGGTGGGTGGGTGACTTTTTCTCCCTTCAGTTATGGATGGGAAGAAAACCGGGCGGCAGCACTGCATGGTGCCCAAGAGAGTCTTTACCCCTTTGCCCGAGCCCGTTTCAGTGTTCAGTTGGCGCGCACCTTGCAGTGGAAACTCCCTGGGCTTCCATCACTAAATGAGGTGGTAGCACTGCTGAAGGCTGAGCTCCCCGGGGCTGACATTCTGTGATTACTGAGCATTGGTGGAAGAGGGGGGAGCTAATTGAGTGAGTTGGTAATTTGGTTGCCAGGGTAACTCTTTCCTGATTGGAAGGAAGGGATCACAGGGTTGGACACAGACTTTGCTAGATAGGAAAGTGTGTCTGATCTTGGCTCCATGTTTCTGCTTCTGAGCTGGAAAAGGAAAGAGGAAAAAAAAAAAGTAAAAAAAACGGAATCCAAATATTGTAGCATGTATGCCTAATTTAGAATGAAATCTTTGGGTGGCTGGCCCTGGAGGTCTCTGTGAAATATGTCATTCTTCAAACCCCGTGTTATTTGCCAATTTCTACATTTTAGTTTATTTTTTCCATCTTTATAATGAAATGACTCTGGTCTTTTATCTTACGCAGGCCATTTTCTGTGGCCAGCTGTTTTCATAGACTATGAAAACATTTTGAGAAACATGTACATGCCTTTTCTGAACTCAGCCGGGGGAGCCAGGCAGTTTTCTGGGTCCCAGTGACAGGGCCACCACATCAAACAACTGCAGGGGTGTTATTCATGTTGTATTTGTGGAGTTGTGCTGTGAACTGGGGGTGACTAGTAAGGCCTTGAAGGATTTTTACAAAGATGGATGGATGAGTGATAGTGTTAGAGTGCATTTGTTTTCCTATATTCTTTTTTCTTTTAAGATTTATTATTCATGCATACAGGACTGGAGTACAGGCCAGAGGTGCAGGGCTGGTGAGAGGATTCACCAGAGACAGAGTGGGGAGCAGAACAGGCAGATAGAGGAAGTATACTGCTGAGGGGAGCAGCGTGTGAGGCAGGAGAGGTCTGCTGCGTCATGTGGATCACCTCCAGGGCGGGGATCGAACTGGCACTGAAGTGAACTGGCACTGAAGTGAACTGGCACTGAAGCTGCTGCAGCTAGCTTGCAGTGCTGAGCTTTTAACCCATTGTGCCACCCAAGAGGGCCCCTCCCCATCTTTTTTATTCAAGGAGGGGGTTGTATTGTGTGGACTCTCTAATTGAGTTTTCTTAAACCAGTCATTCTTATCACAAGAAGTGAGGTCTGTGCAGTGGCCTTACATCTCCGTCAGCTGGGCCATGGGGAGCGCCTAACGCCTTGACTGCCAAGAAACCCCACTCCAAGCTGTCTCCAAGCTACTCCAGCAGCAGGGCAAGTCAGTACCTGACCACTTTCCCCTGTTGCTCAGCGCCCAGATGTGGTAGCCCTCTGCATTGTTGGAGGTTCCCTTACTCAATTTTTGCAAGAGCTTTCATAACATCCTTCCCTTGCTGGGCATCAAGAGACTGAGCTGCCCACAACCCTCTCTGGGCAGGTTGTGGGAAATGCTGGTTTCTTGTGTTCTGAAGGTACTTTTCTCAAGAGACCATTATGGTTTGCATGTACATTCATGAGAGAGAGGGGAGATACAGCCTAACTGGTGTTAGGTCAAAAAGGGGGTCAGGGGCCTCCCAGGTGGCGCAAGGGGTTGTCTCAGCACTCTGAAGCAATCTACAACCAATGCAGCACAAGTTCAGTCCCTCGCCTGGGGGCTAACCCACATGGCACAGCAGACCTCTCCTGTCTCCCCTCAGCAGTGTATTTCAGTGGATCCACGTGTTCTGCTGTCTCAGGTGAGTCCTCTCACCCCCAACCCCTTGTACCCCTGACCTACACCCCAGCTCTTGTATGCATACATAAATCTTAAAAAAAAAAAAAGGGGGGGTGAGGGGGCAGGAAATTAGGACTCTTAAGTCAATCCAGAACACCCGGAATCATGTAATGCCCTAGTTTCATGAGAAATCAAGGACCTTTTCGTTCACCTACTTGGGGACAGTCCTGGAAAAGAGGGGGTAGGGTCTACGTGTTGCTTATCTCCAATACCAATACATGCCAGTCACCAGGAACCCTTTTTCTCACCTCATTTCTCATCTGTTGTACAAGATGAGGAAACTGAAGCCCATAGTAGTTGAGCATCTTGTCTAAGGTCCCTGCTTAGTAAGAGGACTTGAACCTGGAATCTCCTGTCAACAGGCTGGTTCCTTCCTGGAGGGACTAGGCTGGCGTAGGGCACAACTGGGGGGAGCAGTGGGCCTTGCTTCATCAGTTTAGGGAAGAGAAGAACCCCTTAATCCACCCGCTAACCTTCCCACAGGAGGCGTATCTCCTCAGTAGCTAATCAACAGCTGTCCCAGTTTTCGGGCTGCCTTGTGAAACAAGTTCACATGATGACCACAGGAGAATAAAGTGTTAAACCTTGTCTGCAGTGACTGACTGAGCTTATGTCCTTTGCTAATACAGTCAGAGGCGGCTTCATAAAACAGCTCCATCACTGACTAGAAAGGTTCTAAGGTTTTGGTGAATGGGATTGGTCCAAAACCTGACCTCACTTTCATTTAATTTCATGCCAGCACCAATACACACCCAGGCGAGCAGACCCTGTCTAACTAGTGAGCTGCTCAGACACAAAGGCACTCTAATTACCATCTGCAAGCCAGGCTGACAAGGATTTCAAGTGTTTTCATGTTCATGGAGATCAGAGAAAAGTGTTCTGTACATCTTTCCCACCGACAGCAAGTATAAAATAAAACCAAACCCCAAACCCAACACATTTATTAAAAACAGAAATTCCAGTTAAGTTAAAATCCTATAATCAGGATGGCCACAATTCCAGACACTCCGGTGCGAAGTGTAGATATGTCAACAGCCACATCTGGATGATGCACAAGCCATTGAATCTTATAAAACTAAAACACCCACAAAAACCGGTCTTAAGATCCCTCAAGGGTGAACACACAGTCTATCACAACCACTTCACGGCGGCTCACAATGGCAAAGCCTGCAGCTTCTCCATTCGGAGGGTCACATTTTCTACTCAGTTTCCTTCACTTACAAAGGCGACATGGCCCGGCTGGGGGAAGGGCAAAGGGAGGAAACCAACTATCCCGGGAATTGCAGCTGTTATTGCAAATGGCCCCGGAGAGCCCATTATATGCTGCTGTGCGGGTGTCCCTGGAGTGGCTGTCACGTGGTGTTGCCCCAGCTCGGGCCCCCAGGAGCAGCACCACCAACCCGCTGGAGCAGGGCAGCAGAACTGAGGGCGAGATGAGGGGCCCCAGGTCCGTGTTTTCGTGAAAGCCCGGGGCGCCGGCGCCCGGCAGATCCCAGCGTCTCCGCATCCGCAGCGCGCTTGTCCTCGGGAGACTCCAGCACTTGCAAAGCACCGCGCTCTACTCCGAGTACCAGCGGAAACCCGCGACTCTGGGGCTGTGCTGGGGCCTCGCAACCCAAGTGCGTTCAGGAAATAATGACCTTGAACCTGAGGCAGGGCGGGCAGGCGGGCGCCGCGAACATACACGTTAGGGCGCTGTAAGGTTCACTCCAGGCCTCCCGCTACCCCTGCCCCAGCTTGCAGCCGCTGCGCTCGGCCGTCCCCGCGACTTGCGAGCCTCAGTCAGTAACTAAGCGGGGGCAGAGGGAAAGTTAGCCTATTTAAGTCTCAAGAAGGTTTTGTCATGGTACCACGTGTTTTATATTAAGAACCAACACCCCAAAAAACATGAGATGGGTTTTCGTAAGTATTGTAAATGTTCGAGTCTGAGAGAGTTCGCAGTGCTCACTGAAATGACCATCGACTCATGCTCCCCTCCCTCAAAGGGTCCAGGAAGCTGCCCTGGGCAGGTAGGGCCAGTCGCCGCGACCATCCTTGGCCTTCGGCGCTCGGCGAGCCTGAGGAGCGTGAACTTGGCCACATGGTCGCTGGAGAGGCTGCGTGGAAGGGGACACTGGTCGCCAGCACTGGTCAGGAGTCCTGCTGACTGTGAGCGCTGGTGCGTCAGGCAATCTGCCCAAACAGGGCCAATCAAGTCCGGTTTATCGAACATGGGGGGGAGGGTGTCCCTCGGTTCCTTGGAGAAAACAGTTGTGATTTTTCGATCCTTCGTCTTCATTAGCTTATTTTCTTGCTCCCAAAGCGCGGATTCACCAGTCAGAGCAGGACAACTGCCCCTGCGCCCCCCACCCCCACCCCCCGCCCTTGCCCTCCAGTCAGACTGGCGCTGTGGCCATTCTCGGGGCGTTAGCTGCCAGGGACCAGAAAGCCTTCGCCAGTTCTAAGAAGAGCCTTTCTCCCGGGGGCGCCTGGCTCGCTGCAGGCGGCGCGAGGGCTGCGGGGTGAAGGGGGCTCATGCACCGGGGCCGACAGAGGCCCCAGGAGCGAGCGTTGGGGAAGCTTCGCGTGTAACCGCAGCCGTCGCGAATGGAGTCTCCGCACGGCCTCTTTGATGAGGTTGCCGGAGAGCACGAGCTGCTGCAGGAGCCGGTGAGGGTCGTCTTCTCCCGTGCCGGCTTCTGGTGGAGGCCCGCGTCGCTGCTGCAGGCGGCGGGAGGCGGTGGCGCCCCGCAGCCATCCTCGCCGGCACGGGCCGGACAGCGGCTGCGGGGCGCCCCGCTTGTCGGCTCCTGAAGACGCTTCAAAGCCAGGTTGAGGGGGCAACGGGGAGGGCGCGCTGGGGCCTGCGGCGAGCTCCGCCACAAAGTAGGGCGCTGCCCGGTCCCTCACGCGGCCGCGGTCCCCGAGGGCGCAGCGCAGGGCCCCCGGGGGCGCC